AGGCAGCACGACACTTTTTTTTCAAGTGTTATGCTATTTTCTATATATAAGATGTTTAGAAATTATTAAATTTTGGTATTTTGTTTTGAAACTGCGTATCTTAGTAGATTTTGAGTAGAATTGTCGGGAACTATTGCTAAAAGTGCAAATATTTATCATTTTCTCGTACTTTAGAGGAAAACTGACGTGCCAGATTCGCGACGTTAGCACGCTATATTTTCAATCTTGTTTTTTTCATATTAAAAGTGCGTAACTATTTATTATTTTTAAGTAGAACTGTAGAACTATGAAAAGTGCTACTGGAACTGTTGTACTTTTTTTGATATCGATAGAATGCCGTGCTAGCTTCACAGATCCGCCTATAAAGACGTCATAAATAAATGACGTCATTAATTGATCAAAAAGATGACATCATTATTACATCTTAAATAGATCACATGACGTCAATAATTTAAAATTACTAACTATCGACGTCAAAATAACGACAGCTTGCTACCTGGGTAATATAGAGAGCCTCACAAGGAGAGAATGGTAAATTGTATCACGTGAATGCCCACATCCAATCAGGGCAGGAATCACATGACCAGTTTTCTCCAATCTCTTCCATACCTATGGAGCTTTGATGCCCATGTCCAATCAAAGGAGACAGGTCATATGATGCAATTTCCCACTTTCTCCCTGTGAGGCTCTCTAGGGTAATATCATAATGACGTAATGACATAGCGCCAACTTCACATAACCGCGACAATATGGCGGCTTCTGGGTACCACTTTTCTTATATTCAAGATGCGCAAGAGCATACCTAATATACAATACTTCAACCATGGTATCAACCGTTGCAAAAATATAAAGGGTGCTCACATTACCTGCAGTGCTTATAATACCCTGTTACTTAAGTTTATCAATAAATGGGAAATGACAATAAGAACCGACACTTGGTGTTGATGTGTTTGATTTTATTCAAATGTAATTGTCCATGCATCAATATAATTTTTCAGATGTTCGATTCTCGATTTAAATTCTCTTCAGTAACAATAATTCATTCAATCATTAAGTCCGGATCTACAATAGGATTTTAAGCCATAAGAAATGGACGAATCATAATCGATTATTCTCCTGGAATTCGACTGTAATTGGTCAATTTCTTACGGCTTAAGGCTTAAAATACCTATTGTAGATCCGGGGTAAAAGACGTGATCAAGTCTATCTACAGAGATTATCTTATGACAAAATCGACATTACGTTCAATGTCGATGTTTTTAATACAATACGTGATCTAACAGTGAAACGCGGCCTGTGTAAAACTGACTATCAACTTTTTCATCCGCACAGTTGTCAAACTTTTAGACTTATTTGACAAAATAATGTTTGAGTGATTGCTTAATATATAATAATTAAAGCATTATAAGAAATTTACATGATATGCTAGAACACGTTTAAAAGATATTGCCAGTTCGACAGTTACAAATGAGGGTCGTTCGCATACATAAATTATACTATCAACAATATTAAGAAACATTGGAAAGATGGAAACATCATACTATAGATAACAGATTTGAGTAAGCCAGATCTAAAAGTTCGGTGTTGTTTTTTAAATTTGAACTATTTTTTTGTTTTTGAATATGAATCATCTCAAATATGAGACATATTTCTGAAAAATTATTTCTTTTTTATTTAAGATTTTTATGCTATATCTCGATTGAATTCATGTGATAATTAACATCTATATTGGTATGCGACATCGCGGGAAGTTATATTTTAGTAGTCTTATAATTCCACGTAATTTATTAAGGCCTATACATATGCCATAGGTTATTGTTAAAAAAGTTCGATATTTTTTCAGAAATACCAGTAATAAAAGGGTATTGTAAAAAACAATCTCCTATTTTCTTTTGGATTCAAATCGTTAACATGAGAAAATTGTTTATTATTCAAACTATGAGATTTTTTGTAAAGTCTTTTTTTAATCGTGGAAGAAATCAATTCCAATGGATACTCAGAAAAACTCTTATATAATCTTGTTAAAATTCTTGGTATAGAATCTAGAATGAGATAAAAGAACTCTGTCCACCAGCCCCAAGATTCCACCTACTTTTTGATACAATGGATGTTGAGAAAAATAACTTAGATAGCGACCCAAGAAAGTGATCACGTCTTTTAATAGTTTAATAAATTATTGGTTATACTAAAGAGGATTCAAATCGAAGATCGAAATAAAATTATATTGATGCATGGACAATTAAATTTGAATAAAATCAAACACATCAAAACCAGATGTGGGCTCTTACTGGTAATTCCTATTTATTGATTTATTTCGTCAAAGCCTATAATCTCTCAATTTGTTTACTCAAGTTTGTGTTTTGGATCAGGATCTCATTGAAATGACTCCATTTCTTAGTTATTTTGATACTACTTCCTTGAATTTTATTTCCAAGAATATATCAAGGACATAGTTTTCTCTACCAAGATACAAACATGAAAATGTCTTACACAATTAAATTGTGATCGCTATTGGCACATAATTACATGTCGCAGCGCATTTGACATAAAATAGAGTACCAATAGCCTTCTTATCACTAAAAGTGCTCTATGGAAGTTTGGTAATATATAGAACTTTAATAATTTTTCAAAGAAATTTTTTAGTTGCCTTTTATAATAAAAAAGTTAGAATAATGTATATCTTTACATTTTTATTTTTCATCGTTTTAAAATATAAATTTACCTATACCCCGTGTAATGATATATGTATAAGCATTTGGATGTTAGTTGCACAGTAAACGGCAATTATTAATCACGCTTTGTATTTACTTTACTATTTCCTCATTTCCACTTTCCGCGTCGTCGAACAGATGCACGCCTTCAGATCTGGTAACTCCAGAAATTTAAGCGCTCTCGTAGATAATTGGGACAAACGATTTATTCACATCGCAGGTCCACCGCGACGAAATCTCGGATTATCTTAGCGCCACCGCCAGTTAATCGTACGAAGAAAATCTCTCATTAGGCACGTGTCCTTCTCCTTTTTACGTTCACCACCGCATCTTCCCAGCATCTTCGTAGCGCATCTCACTTCACTCGTGCCTTCCAGTTTGCTTCACTCTTCTCGCTCAGGATAAGGGATGAATAATGTACTCCCCAACCTCTGAGCAAACCTTCATGCAACCTGAATGACAAATCAGTTTGCCGTCCGAGCCAGGTCACGAATCGACGTCAGCTCTCGCCCCAGCTTCCAACACCATCTTCTCCTCAAAGAGCCAGAATTTTTGCGGGACATTTCTCGCTCTCGCATGAATCCCAATGGCACGCCGGCATTCGTCAATGTTCGTAATGTATCTGAGATACCGCCGATACTGCGAAATTCTTTTAGCTCCAACCACAGCCGAAACAGAAAAATTTCCTCTCATGTAAACAATAAATCGATATAAGTGCAATGTAACTTCTAAAACAAAATTTCTACAGCAAAATTTTTATATTCAGCATCAAACGATAATTTGTTAATACTTGCTGAAAACTGACGGAACTAAACACAAAAAATCAATAATTTCTCTCTATCTCTCCCCTCCTCTCCCCCCCCCCCCTCCCCCCCCTCTCTCTCTCTCATATAAAAGCAAACCCCTATGTAACCCCTAAATAACTTTTTTAATGCACGCAAGGATAATAATTTTGATTTATCAATTTCGATTTTGCTTGAAATATTATTATACATTTTTAATTGCCACTACTATCTTCTTCTTTCTTTTATCAATGACAAGTTACAAAATAAAAAAAACAGAAATAAATGTATTTTTAACGATTCTTTAAGGCAAGATTGTTTGTTTCTGACAATGTGTTAGAAAATAATAACGATAAGCGCGGCTAAAATCTATTATATGGAAGACATGTTTCATTAATCGAGCGTGGATTTCTGTTGCAGAAGGTTGGTTGCGACCTTCGAGTTGGTAGTAACAAGAACACAGATGTGTGTGGCGTGTGCGGAGGGAATGGATCAAGCTGCCAATCGCGGTACTCCTGGAGTTTGGAATCGATATCCGCCTGTTCCAAGTCCTGCGGTGGAGGTTGGTAATTACTGAATTAATTTAGTCATATTTCCTTACGCAAACAATTACACGAACAAAGTAGCTCAATGTTATGAGAAAATTTATCGATCGTCAATTTATTATCGTCTTCTGTCCACATTTATTTGGATCGTATTACATAAAAATACTTATAATTCTCATAACGCCAATTCGGAAAAGATAATATTTTGTATACACTGAGAGAAACGTGTTTGATATTTATGACTATAATTGGTAAAATAGTTATAGGAACTTAATCTCTTTTATTGTTGTTATTTATTTAATATTATTAATATTATATCCTATTTATAGTTCTACCAAAAAATGTGCAGTTGGCAAAAAGTAATTATAAGTTATAATTAAATTATTATAACAATCAATTATAATTAAATTACAATCATTCCTTTCTCTCAGTGTTTTGAGATTTTGCCTATATTACATGCAGTGTTTTAAACGTATATTACGTAACTATTTAAAAAACTGGCGTGTCGTTGAATAAGAAGTTAACGAGTGAAATTCACGAGCATCGCGGCATTATTTGCATGAACGTTCGCCATTAAATTGGAGGGCTAATTTGCCAGTCACGTTTTTGCACTAATAGGTTTCAAGATAGGGATGGCGGTGTGCAAATCGGTCGACGAGAGCGTCGTGGAGGACAGCTATTGCGATGCAAACAACAGACCTTCGGTGAAGTCTTTAATGCCGTGCAACACGCACCCCTGCACAACAAAGTGAGTATGTTCGGACAGACTGAACTATCTACGGTAGAACTGCATGCACGTTCTACGTCAAGGGACGTCAGGCCACTCGCATGTACAACTGAGAAGTAGATATTATAGAACTTCACTCCGCGAATTGCACGCGCGATTTCGCCCATCAAATAATAAAATATCCACTCCAAAAATGTATAAAATGTTACTTTCACCCTATCTCGCATTAGTTGGCGAATAAATCGGATTTCTTAGAGCGATATCTCAAGATTTTCAAGGAAGTGAACGCAAGAAATGAGCGGAAAATTGGGACTAGGTACGAGCGATCTTTGTTCTTACAATAATATTTCTCTTCTGTCTCACGAAAAGATTGCGAGGCAGCAATTTAAAGCCAGTTCTCGCGATGGGAATCGTCCAACAAACGACGAAATACTCCAGCGTCGACGGGACTCGGACAAAAGCTCGCGCAAACTATTCTCTCTGGATCCAACGGATACGCCGGGAAGTCGAATAGCGTTGAAAGTTTACCGTTCGGTATATAGAATCTTTTCTTTGTATTTGGATTCATGACTCGATGTTTACGGGGCGATTGGCGATCCTTGCCGATTGTCTTTCGTTGTTGTTCCGCGAACGATCAAGGATTGCTTTTGGTTGGGACTAAAAGCAAAGTAAAGCTCGTATCGGACTACACATTGAAGATCGAAATTATCGATTAAACGTTGAAGACTGTCTAATTATGATTACGATTGATAGTACATTGCAATTGATATTACATGGCGTTTAATTTAAAAAATGTCGAATAAAATAATATGTGTAAATATAAAAAAAAGAAATATAAAAAAGAAACCACTACTCTCTTACTTTTAATAATTTCTGAGAAGAAATATGTAGAAATAATCATCATATACGAAGAAGTCCTTACTTTTTAAAGAAGAGTGAAGTGATACCTCACAAAAAATATGTCATCAATAATGAATCTTTAATCTAGTCGATACCAACTAAAAATAGTATAATATCTATGTTATAATGTTTGCTCAACAATGTAACTGTTATGTCACACCAATGTGTTATATTACATTTATATTATTTGGTACAAAATTGTAACAGATGTTACATTATTTTAGTAGATGTTGACTGAGACTATGCAGTCTCAATACAATCTTAATCTTCAACATGTAATTTGATGCAGACTTAATGGAGAATAAATAGAAACAAAGGGCTAATGAGAGTATAATCGCGGTAATTCTTGCGATGATTGAATTTATTACATATTACTATAATTCAGACGTTTCGGCCTTCATTCGAGCCATCCACAATGTATCTGACCGAACAATACGTGTTGACTTCTACGGCTAAACGAGAGAGTGACCACTCATTCTATCTACACCAATTCGTCACACAAGATTGGCTAAACTAGTGGCAACAATCGAAGATGTATTCTATGTATAAAGAAAAACAAACGTTACCACGATGTGTGAATAAAGATTACAAATAAAACAAGAAAAGTCATTCACCCGTACAGCCATGAACAATTACTTAAAATTAAGAAAAATCCGCAGCTTGTCCATATTAAAAATTGAGAACGTGGTATTTCATACAAACATTACAACGATTAACAATCGAATGAGTCAAACAGAAATAAACGCTCGAAAATAATAGCCGTTAGAGACAATAATGTCAACTTTTGCGAAATTACATATCATTAAAAGCATAAACAATAAGTCAAGAAACTCTACTTACAAAAATCTAACAAAACATGAACTATATGATGAAAACAGATGAATACCTCAATCAACTAAATCAATGTAAATTATTAAGAATCGAAATATACGCATAGTGTAAAAATTCGGTATCGGACTGTAAATTTAGGCTATTTTTCTGCAACTGTATGTACACCATTTCAGCAATACGTCGTTTATATAAAAACCGTTCATTATCCATAATCTCAATGTTATCCCAATCGAAGTCATGGTTACAGTTTAATCTATGCTCTGTGATAACAGAATGATTGTTGCTATTTTTTCGGATATCATTTCGGTGTTCCATGGTTCTCGTTTTAACCGTCCGCTTTGTCTGACCGACGTATGAAGAATCACAATCATTGCAATTAATCCTATAATCAACATTCTTTTTTTACATAATAGGTAAAGGATCCTTATGTGTTTTTATGAAACAGTTGAGCTTATTAAGGCTAAAAAAGGCAAGATTCACATTCAAGTCCTTTGTGATGTCTCTAAATTTATCAGAAATCTTCGCCATGTAAGGGAACGAGGACCATGTCTTCCTTATGTCATCTATAGAAGTTTCCCTGTCACTATTTTGCTTCGACGTTTTTTTATGCACTAGAGATTTAAGACGATCATTCATTACATTGAAAATAAAATCCACCGGATAGTCATTATTTAAAAGTATTTCTATAACAAATATCAAGTTCTTTTTGTGATATTTTGGAACCGATAATAGGAAAGCCCTATCAACCATTCCCATGACAGTATCTCTCTTCTGTAAAAGAGGATGTTCAGAGAGTAAGTTCAAGTATCTCCCGGAAAATGTCGGTTTGTGATATCAATCAAATTCCAGAAATTTATTATTCTTAATGATAGTGATGTCTAAAAAATTCAATTCACTACCCTCTATCTCCATCGTAAATTGCGCAATCATAAATTGAGAATGAAAGGAATTAAAAACTTTAAAAAAAAAACTTTTAAAATCTCCGAAGTTCTGTCTAGTGGAGCTCCCATGGCAATATCATCCACATATCATACGTAAAATGGTATATAAAATCCTAAAGTATCTAAAGCTTTCTTCTCTAAATCTTGTAAAACGATGTCAGCGATTACTGGAGATAAGGGTGATCCCATAGGCATTCCAAATTTTTGTCTATAAATAACATTATCGAAGGAAAAAAAAGTAGAGTTAAACACTAATCTTAATGCGATAAAAAATTCATCTTTTGTAATATTCGTTATTTTTTAAATCAAAAGCCATTTGTAAGAGATGCTGTCAAGAGCTAATTCTATCGGTATATTCGTGAACAAAGAAACAACGTCAAGTGAGATTAAAATAAAATTGTCTTCTAACTTGGTTTTATTTAAAACATTGGTCATGGAAACTATTTTTTATGTGACTAAAAGAATTAACGCTGACTTTATAAATTATTTTATGTAAAAAAGATGCCAAAGGATATAATGGACTATCAATAGCTGAAATAATGACTCTGAGAGGTGTACCTGGTTTGTGGATTTTTGGAAGTCCATAAGCCCCCGGTAACACGCCTTCACTAACATTTAAATTATTATAAGTATAATAAGTAATAAATTCTTTTTTCTCCCATCTGGACAATAATTCTCTCAATTTTCTCGATAAAACACCGGTTTGATCCTTTTTGACTATTTCATATGTGTCTCTATCATCCAGTAAAGCTAACATCTTTTATTTATAATCTATTTTATTCATCGCCACATTCCCCTTATCAGCTCTTGTGAACATGATATCTCGATTACACTTTAAGAAAGAAATAGTTGCCTTCCACATATCAGCCAATCCATTTTTCAAACTGTCAAATAGATTAAGAGATGACGAGAGACTACCAATAATCGGTATAGCACGGTTCCTGACATCTAAACGACTACTAATGTGTAATTTGTTAATATTATTCTCTATACTTTTTATAAATTCTATTGTGGTCTTTTTAACATTAAACGGAGGAAGAGAAAAATTTTCTCCCAATTGTAGTAAACATTGAATATTAATTGGAATGTGAATAGACGTTAAGTTAATAAACCAATTATTTTTCAAATTAGTCAAAGACGAATAACACCTATTAAATCTAATGTCAGACGAATCTATACGAACCTCAACTCTGTTTCCACCTAAATAGTGGTTACCAAGTCCAGAGCGCACAGAATCATCTGAACCCTCGTTATTTTTTATATTTATGTCAGCTGAGCTATGATTGTCAGTCCCTATATTATATAATGTATAGGCTTAATGTTGAGAACTCGCTCTTTTGTTTATTTTTTTTTATAAGCCAATTCATTTTTTTGTTCAATCTAAAAATTTCTTGTTCATATAACTTTGTAAAATAAATGTTCTGTCTTCTGAAAAAGGCATCACAAATATACCAAGGAATGTGAAGAGCAATCTTTCTCACCAAATATAAAGACTATTTCTTGGAAAAGTTGATAGATCTATGAGCATCATTTAATTCGATATTAAGTATTCGGTGGATGTACAAATGTGTCGAAAAAGCAAACTTCTTAACCGTTTTGTAGTGCAACAAATTAAGTTTGTGCTTATAAATATAATACAAGTATTGAGGTACCACGTTCTCACACAAGCAAAATTTTAAGAATTTTATACGGATATTATTCTTCACAATATTCTTTTGATGTTTAGACCATAATTTAATAAAAGATAATGCACTTGTACCAAAAGTCATAAAAATAAATGCAAAAAATGAATAATGTTGTGGCTCGAATGAAGGCCGAAACGTCTGAATTATAGTAATATGTAATAAATTCAATCATCGCAAGAATTCCTGTGATTATACTCTCATTAGCCCTTTGTTTCTATTTATGACATTTTCGAGAGTTATTTTTATCAATTTATATTTAATGGAGAATGTTATTTTCTTTTAATGTTTGTGGACCGACGTTCCTATTTGAGGGCATACCTTTTTATTTTATAAACTGCTCGCTCGATTTTTATGAAACTTGAGCTATGGAATAATTTGATGCTTTATTTGAATCTGAAATCAAAAATGAAAAATTCAAAATAGTAGATTTAATATATGGCGGACAGAATTTTTAAAAAATAATTTGATTATCATAAAATTCGATTTTAGGGAGTTTTTAATTACAAAGTAATATTAATTTCTCAGTTTTGCTTTATTTGAAGCTCATTAGTATTACATAAACGATTAGTAAGTATTTCCAAACTTATTTCCAAACTAACTTTTAAACTATGCAGATTATGAACACTACAAGAATAGATCCTTTTTCATCTTTTTGAAATTCAAT